CCCCAAAACCCCAAAACCCCAAAACCCCAAAACCCCGCAGATTGATATAAGTTTCAAAATTATAAATATAAATTTAAATTAAGACAGTTAGTTAAGAAAATGATAAAAGATCTCTTACAGTATAAGTTCACAGACTATAATACAGGCTACACTCAGGTGCGTACTCCAAAGACAGGACATAATCGTAGTCAATCACTGTAAAAGTCACTTGTTTCAGCTGCTGGAGACCCAAAGAAGAATTCTGATAAGCTTAAGTTTTTGTTGCTAAGCATCAAGTTCCCTCAATAATACAATGAGAAAGAGTAATTATTGTCGATTCCAATCTTTGTATTGATTTCTTAATTATAGAGCTCTCGAGGGACATCCCACTTAATTTATGAAGATCATAAACTATTCATTGTTTGTTGCATCTGCCTCTGTGAAGAAATACTTGTTTAGCAAGGAAGTTGACCCAGATACTGTCTATCTCAATGACTACAAATTTATGAAAAAGGTCTTTCATATCATTGTAATTAATGCTTCTTTTAATAAAACAATAGACTTAAATATTTGGCTACAGACCAAACATTACTCTTGAGCAGTTCTTTAAGTATGGATTTGCTGAGTAAAAGATGCTTATCTGTTGCGATGTCATCAATCTCGTTAAGAAGGCTTCAAGGGATTTAAAGATCCAAAAGAGTTTGACTAGAAAGAGATCTGAGACTACGAGAGACTTGCAAGTCAGTTCCTATACTATTATCAATCATAGCAAGGTCACTGATGCCTAAAAAGATTTTGTTTATGAAAGAGATACAGTCAATAAGACTGCAAAAGTTAGCAGACTAAATCAAGATCTACAAGAGTAAAGACAAAGTTTAAGAGATTCAAGAAGATCTTCCATCCAAGACAGTAGAAACAGGTCCACTTAGAGACTTTCAGCTTCAGCTGGTAAAAGCATAAACAACAGTTTCAGATACACACACGTTCAAAGCAGATACATGCTTCCAGCAAAAAATCAATTACAATAATAAGAAGTCAATGCTAATGTGGGTACTGCTTTGCCAGCAGAATACAAACCTCTCAGAGTTAGAGCCAAGCATGAAAACACTCATGATATTTCTGTTAACAAATCTTTGAGGTAGTCTTAAAGTCCCTAATAAGAGCAAAAGCCATCACCTTAAAAATAGGCATAACAAGTTCAATCAGTTCCTTCACAATAGCAAAACGTTAATAATATCTCAATTGATCTTATGTTCCAGCTAAAGTAAACAATAGAATCCTTGAATAGCAAATTTGAGAATTTCTAATGCAAGATTGACAACAAGATTGAGACAATCCATCAAGACTATTAGAGTTTGAATATCAAACTAGAAACTTTAAATTCAACTAAAAATGGTGGAGGAGCTGGCTTCGGTTAAACAACATTGAGTCAAGCAGATTATGGTCAAGATCGATTGAGGGAAAGAGGAGAATTCATTAGTCCCTCTCACTTCGGAGATAGAAACGAAGGTCCAAGTTCAGTCATAAATTACGGAGATGTTTAAGTTAAGAACTTAAGAGAGTTCACATTCTCGGAGAAAGGATCAGTAGATTAGAACTAGAGGATGTACAGCACTGATGGGTTCTTGCAAAGCAGAAAAGCTTAAGTCGAAGATCTAAGAGAAGAATCATAGTAGCTGATTGATAACATCAGAAGAAACTTTGACGAGTCTAAAAGAGAAATAGAAAACTACTCAGCCAATCATGCCAGAAACTAAAGTGCTCTAGCTGCTGATCACTAACAATGAATTTTCAAATATCTAAGTGATTTAAGATCATTATATATCGATTTACAATAAACTCTAAATAGAGATGATGGGGTTTTGGGGTTTTGGGGTTTTGGGG